AAACCGAAACTTGCTTAAAATGTTGACCTTTGAAAGCTTTCGGCTTAATAACTAGATTAAACTTTATTTACACTCTTATCGATTTATGAACAAATTACATATACAAGTGTAAAACAATCGATTTCTAGCATAAAACACCATCCACCTATAAGTGTGCCAGCGGAAAAATTGATTTTTATTCTTGAGTTTCCTTTCAGATACTAAATTTCGAATACTCCCAACTCTGGTTCTAACTACTAGAGGCACACATTCACCATTGGTGTCATGTCCAAGAGTATCTAAAAGCTTAAACTCGGACTTAATCCAGATCAACTGCAGTTAATTTCCGAGTTGATCCGGATCAACGCTGCCGTCTGTTTATGCTTTTATATAGAATAAAGTGTTTCAATGCCATTTTCAAAAATTCAATTCAAAAAAAAAGTTACGTGGAAAAACAGAAAAACTTATGGTGATTTCGTTTCTACCAAAAACTGTCGCATTTTGACTGCCCCTTTCTCTTTTCGTATTCGATTCCAAAATAAGGGCAAAGGGTGAGAAAACTTTGTGATCATTTCTTAAAATGTCACACTCTTGTAAGGCAAAAAAGGCACATTTTCTGCCCTTTGAAGCTTTGTCAGGGGAGTTGGTTGCCCTGAAAATCAGATGGTTGCTTAAAACGACAATATTATGAAATGCGTAAGCCGGACAAGGACAAGAAGGCAAAAACTTGCCCTTTTAAAGGGTTGAGTGTAACATCAAACACATTTTGCACCGTGCGAGGGCAACATTTTTTGGTGGAAACGAAAACACCATTAGTTAAATTTTAATAATACGGAATTACTACTTTATAATTTTTTTTGTATCTAATCTATGAATGGCACACCTGCGTGTACCATATGTTTATAATACTTAAAGACTAAATTAAAAATTATAAATAATTGATAATTATCAATGCCCAAATCCATTCGTTAAGCAATTGCAGCGTGCAAAAGAAAAATCATCATTTTGACTCATTGGTGTTTCAGCTAGTTTTGGGATTACAACGCTCGGGTATTGTTTCACATTGGATAAAACACTTTAGTAACTCTTAGAGCCGTTTTCACAGTGGGGGGTTAACTGAAATTCGGCAGTTAACTTAAAAGTTTTGTATAGAAAACCTGTAGTTAGCTACCGAACGAGAGTTAACTCATCTTTGTAAAAACGGCTCTTATTATAATATATCGTCACCTAAGGGTGAAAAGTTGCCAAGCCCATTTTTTGAAATTGTCCAGGAGAGACGAAAAATCGATTTCATATTACCTGCCATTCTGCACCAAAAACTAAATTAAAAAAAAAAAAACGGACTTGACACCTTTTTCACCTTTAGGTAGCGAAATTTTCTTTTGAGAAATACACAACATATGTATATAGCGATTTTGACCATATACCTACGAAACTATGCATAATCACCAAACTCAAATGTTCTAGAGATATACCCACATACGAATTTTCAATAGCCAATGCAAGTTTATTAAACTTTTCTTTATTTCGAATAAGAAGCTTCATGCTTTTATTTAGTACCACTTCCATGTTGCGTTATATGTGGGAATTTTTCGCCTTCAACAGAAAATACATACAACTTTTTAAAAGCTGAACTTCTATTTAAAGAGTTTGGAATTCATATACTTCAGATATATGTATGTACATTAGACTGCATCACAAAAAAGAAGTGATTTTTCAGCCGGGACTACAAAATCTATTATATTTTAAGACGTCTACCAAAATATTTCGGAAAAATATTAAGATTTAAGTGAGCTCGACCGATTTGAAAATACCTCATAAAATGGGGTTTTTATGAATAAAAATAGTTTCGGAAAAAAAATTAAAAAAAGTCCCCTCAGATGATAAAACAGATTAAACTTAAAAAATCTGCATCAAAATTTTTAAAAATCTTTTGAATTGTAAGAACGAGGTTTTTGATACTGTTTTTTTTTTTACCTTTTTCAAAGATTGATTTACGAAAAACTTAAATAACTGGGCCAAAACTATTCTGATTTAGACTTATGTGATCTCAGTGGAAAGATATTTTCCCCCTGTTTTTTTCTGTCAAAAAAAAGTCATTCGTGTCCCAATTTATTTATTTTTTTAATGTTACCAACACATCTTAATTCAACTTTGAATGACGTTCGTTCATTCTACCTTTCTCTTTCATCCTTTGAATGAGTTTATTAGCAAAGAAATGAAAGGGGTGAGACAATACCTTTCCAATGACACCCCTTAAGTCTAAATCGGAAGAGTTTAGGTTCAGTTATTCAAGTTTTTCTTATACCAATCTTTGAAAAAGTTAAAAAACAGCCTCAAAAATCGAATCATTACGATTCCGTTAATTTTTTTTTTAATTTGTTTTAAATATGTTTATGCAAATTTTTTACGCTTAAACCGTTTTGTTATTTGAGCGGATTTAAAAAAAAAAATCTTTAAGAAACTATTTTTATTCATAAAAACCCGATTTTTGGAGGAATTTTCAAATCGGTCCCGCTCACGTAAATCTTAATATTTTTCCGAAATATTTTGGTGGACGTCTTAAAATATAAAAGATTTTATATTTCCAATGGAAAAATAGTACCGATTTTTTTTTTGTATGGGGAGTGATGCAGTCTAATGTACATACATATCGTTAACTTAATATAGAAAAGCCTTAACTCAATTTCTTTTCAAATTCAGCATTTGATTAACACCTATTGGATTTTAAAAAGAACGACTACGGCATACAGTTAGTTACATTTTTCAATAAAAACTGCCTTTAAAAGAAATTCGCAGCAAAGGGACTTGGTTTTCTATGGAGTTATTTCATCACTCCGTAATGAAACACAAATATTAGTAAGGGACTTTCTACGTTAAGGTAGCGTTATTTATGTATGTATATAAATAAGTACATATATATAAATGCCTTCGAATATAAGTAACCTCAAGCCATGTGCTTAAGAGAATATTAGTTAAATACTCGTAAAACCCATTAGTGATCTACGAACTCAGAGTCCAAAACTCCAAATTTGTCATATGAGGTGACAAAAAAACGAAGTTCCCCTATGATGCCAGCGAATGCTAGCGCTCCACGCAACGGCAACTGAGTGAGGGAGTAGCGGCCAGTGTTGCCAACCATGGGCCTTTCCACCAAAACTGGTAGGTTTTTTTTCCATTTGATAGGTTGGTAGGCTAGATTGGATTTTGGTAGGTTCCGCGACAATAATAGTTATTTGCGAAAATTATAAAATATGTATCTCCAAACATTTTAGCAACCTTGTTTACACGAATATTTCACCGGTGTAGTCCACCATTGTCCACCTGACAGAGACTTCATTGCAAGACTTAAGGAATATCACCAAAACTAACCTATTGGTCTTTCAATATGGTAGTAAGACCCGTTGTCACATATGCGCCACTGGCCTGGTGACCAAAAGCTACGCAAATAAAGGCGCTTTCCACCTTTAGCAAGTTGCACCGACTGGTCCGCGTGGCCATTACAGGAGCTATAGGCACCTGTCCAACGGATGCCCTTGGTGTCATTACAGGCATTCCTCCTTTGTCTATTCTGTTTGAAGAAGAGGCCTGCTTCAGCGCCCTACAACAATCAACAAGAAAATTTGCGATCTTCGGGGTCTTTTGGAGGTTCTAAAGCCATTCCTGCATAATCCCCTAGTTATCCTTTTACAAATCCTACATGATCAGAATTCCTGAAAGGGACTGCTGTGAAGTGATATTACTGGGCAGGCGTATTTGGATCAAAACTCCAGAAAGTCTGCCAATTTACACATACCCAACTATATTCCAGGCGAAAGTCTTCGCAATCGAAGTCTGTGTAGAAGGACAAATGGGGCCAAATTAAATATTATGTCGGATAGTCAGGAAGGTTAAAATACTTTTTGAACCACTTGGAAGCTCACAATAACGTAACGCTGTGATGGGTTCCGGGACGTGAAGGGCTTAAAGGCAACAAAAGCTGACTGTCTCGCAAAGCGTGGAGCCCAAATGCACTTGCATGGTCCCTAGCCTTTTGTGACCTGATGGAGGAAACCACAGAGCGTATTCTATGTGACTGCCCACGTTTCATAAATAGCAGACTGATACACTTTGGGGAACGATTGTCTTCTTCATCCAAAATTTTAAACATGTCGCCCTCCAAAGTGCCTAACTTCTTAAAGAGAGTTGGAGTGATTACAAATAGGGTTAAGCACAATAGATCTTCCTAGGTCGCAGCGCGTGTATCCCCGACGTAATAATAATAAGAATAATCAGGGAACGGATTTTCTGGAAATTGCCTTTTTTTCTACTAAAGAGGTAGAGTATATTCGATTTGCCTTTTCTACCTTTAATTGTAAAGGGCAAGGAAAAAGCCCTTATTTCTGATAATATGAAAGTTTTACCGTGCCATATTTAAATTGGGCGCCACATGTATCAACTCATGTCGGGCGCACGTTTAGTACATTCAAGGCTTTTCTTCGCAAAAGTCGAATGAGAATGCTACCAGAAAACTTCAAACTGCGATTCAATGCTACTATAATTAGTGTGGTCTTTTGGCTTTTTTGCAAATTTTAGTGCCCTTTCCTGCCAATTTCGCTATTTTATTTTGCTGTTTTTATAGGTTTTAGGTCCTAAAAATCCGTTCCCTGATTATATGTAATAATATGTATATATGTGTAAAGAGACAAACATGTGTGTAAGTTTGTACAGTTATATGAATTATTATACGTGGCTAATTTGTTTTTGTGTTGTACTAGCAGGTTTTAGTTTTCCTAAATGTTGTGTTAGTTACATTTTTAATAATCTTGACATAAAGAAGATATTAAAAACTTCAATAAAATTTTGGTAGGTTTTGGTTGATTTTAGTAAGAAGTTTTAGTAGGAAAAAAAATTTGTCCGTGGCAACTCTGTTAGCGGCTGAGTCAACTGACTTGTCTGGTTGTTCAAGTGGACAATAAAGAGAAAATATGTGGGTACATATGGATGCCAACAGGCGATTGGGGAGCTATCGTAAAGAGAGCCAGCTTAGATAAGCGATAAACCAGCAGAAAAATTACATCGCTATGCGTGTGTGCCGATCGTGTTAGCAACAGCGAGCAAATGAGTATAACTCTGAGTAAAAAGTTGGGACAAGCGACGAGCGATTGCGCTGGAAGCAAATATTCGGACTGTGCTTTTCATATAATACTCGAGTACAGAGCTGGGGGCTAGTCAGAAGCGTGTCACATTCGTACGTAAGAGTATATAGCGGAAAAAAAAGAATTTTTAAAATTTTCCATATTTTAATTCCACAAAAGACTGTGAATTTGTGCAATTTTTAAACAAGTGAAATAGAACTAGAATATTTTCTTTCGTAAATTGTGCCGAATAAATATTAAACGCAAGTGCAAGTAATAATAAAAACTTTGAGAAAAAATCTAAATAAAACCGAAAATGGCTACAAGTGCAGACCAGAGCAAAACTCTCGTGGCTCCCGCAAATGGCACCGTTGCCATCGAACAAGGCAAAGATGTACAGAACCTGCTGCCACATCTGGAATCGCTAGAGCGTATTATTAAATTGCCGGTTGTAGGTGCGGCCTGGGACAAAAGTCAGGATGTCTACCAAAACGTCAAAGGTATGTATGCGAGCCGGTGGAGAAGTGTAGTTACATGTATGTACATATTTATGTATACATATTTTGTCTGTGCATTGTATTGACTGGAAGTGAGATCAGTTATGCATTTTGGAATTTTAGAGTAGCAAAAAATGATACCGCTAGAAGTAATTCCTGTTAGGATTTGCGGTATCCGCTAGTGTTTTTTTTTTTATATAATTCTGTCCAATCATGTACCGATGTACATGTGTATGTATGTATATATGTCCAACCTGAATATATACATATATGTATGTATGTACGAGTACATATTATATTTAATCGCAACACAAATATTCTTCTCTACTACTTGATGACTTCAGTAATATTTTTTTTTTTGTGTAAGAGGTAATTTATTAGTGGAGGCTCATTGTTAGCATATGCATGAACATTAGACTGTGTCAAATAAAAATAATGTTTTTCTGACGATCACAAAAAAAAAATGGTAAAATTTTAGTTCTCTATCTTAATTTTTCGGTTAACGCTTGAAAAAAAAAAGAATTTTCAATGAAAAAAATTGTTCCCGCTGCCTTTTTACAAAAAATTAAATATTACAAAAAACCATTGTTGCCCCTACAGTATTTTTTTTTCCATACAAAAATGTATTTCGACGATTTTTTTATATGGAAAAAAATAAGAAAAAAAATACCACACAGCAAAAACTTACTACTGCCATACCTAAACAAAAGCGTTGGGCGGAACGGTTTCTGACGTCTAGCGTTAGCGCCGAAGTGCCATACCTAAACAAAAGCGTCAACGCTACGTCAAATGCAGAAATAACACCAACAATAAGCATAGATTTGTTTGTGTGTAACACAAAAATGACAGTTTCGCCGTTTTCTGCAGCCAACTTTAATACCTAACGCCCTGTCAAAATCGGAATTTCCAACCGCTCAGCGTTGACGCCGCGTTGTTTCGGTATGCTTCATACAAATTGTATGGGCATGAGAATTTTTTGACAGCCAAACAACGCTGACGCTTTTGTTTAGGTATGGCAGTTACTTTTTTGTATCGATGGAGTAACGTATTACAATACGCCTCAATACACAATTTTTTCACTTTCTAGTTATCCCCTGCATTACAGGTAATACAGTGGGAAAGCATTTTTACAATTTCTCGCTTACCTCCAATGACATACCAAGGTTAAAGTAATGTGTTCTTTAAACTAGAAGGTATGTGGTGAATTTCGAACAGTGCTACACAATTCCGGCGAACGGCGAACTCACCACAGCGAAATTTCCGCTTTCAAAATTAGAACGCCCGTCGGCATATGAAATTGAACACAGCCAAAGCGAAATGCGAAGTTCGCTCGGCGGCGTTTCGTAAATAATTCCCCCTTGCCTTATATGTATATTTGTTATCATTTCATCATTTCTAAATATGGTTTCGTTTTTCAAAATATGGTCACCTAACTTATAAGTGCGACGAAACGGTATCAGCTGTTTTCGCTACCGCTCTAATTCTGTTAAAGTAGGCGAAATAGCAGGGCGAACGGTGAACGACGGCATCGCCCAATTCGGCGAACTTCGCCGTTCGCCGGGTATTGTGTTTCAAGCATTACAGTACACATTACTTTAATCTGGGCATGTCATTGGACGAGAAATTGAAAAATTTTGTTTTGCGGTGTATTGTAATGTGTTACTCCATCGATACAAAAAGTAAGCGCTTACCAAAGAATCAAAGTTTTTGCGGGGCATCAAACAAAATAAAGGCCAACGTCTAAAGGTCTGATTATGCATACTTCGCATAACTTCGCACAACCATTTGTACCAATGCAATAAAAATGTTACTTAAGAAAATGTGAAGCAAAATCTAAACTCAACAGTTCTCTAAGTTTTTAAAAGTTCTGCTAATTTCTAGGTAATGGAATACATACAAAATACATACAAAGTACATACGAAATTACAGTTTGAAGTTTATGCGAAGTTGTGCGAAGTATGCATAATCAGACCATAAGTCCTAGCAATTTCAAGCCTTTTACTAAAATTTAAAGGACTACAAAGTTTTTGTTGTTTTTATGTGTTATATTTAATTATTTATAAAAAAGAAGTGAAAAAGGATTATTTTCATTGAAAATCCTTATTTTTGTGAGTGCCAACTGAAAAATTAAGATAGAGGGCTGAAATTTTGGCAAATTTTTTTTGCGACCGACTACGAAATTTTCATACATATGGGGCCGAAAGAAAAAAATTAGACGTTTTATTTGACGCAGTCTAATGTACAATTCGTATGCATAGATATACCTACATGTGTATGTCTGTTTGCAAGTGCGACTTTCCAACCTTCTGATTCCATCACATTTTGCTGAGTTTTTTGCACATTTCGTACATTTCTCATCCAAATGCGAATCTTAACGTCAGCAGGCACTCTCTTTCGCATGGCTTTTATGGTCAGATCGTCATTGGCTTTCGCTACGATGAGAACTGCAAATAGCCTGAAAGCGCCAGAGCAGTACGCTAGCGTCATCTACTTGAAAATTTATTCAAATAATACATATATGGTGAATATGCTTAATACACACTCGCTGAAGTAAAACAAACACATGGGCATACATATATATGTATGTATGTACATTAGGCATATGACTTTTTTAAATTAAATATCCATATGAAAATTCCATAGAAAAGCATATACATACATACATATCGTTAATTAAATTCACAAATGCCCTAACAACAAATTTGTAATTTTACAGAAGTAAAAAACATTAGACTCGTAAGGAGAATATTAAAGGCAGATAGGGCTTTTTAAAAAGGGGCATGTAAGACTTGAAAATTTTTATTGAAAGTGTATTTTAATATATTCTACCAAAGTCTGAGAAAACCGCAGTTAAGAAAAAATATTGGTTTGGGGTTTGTGAATTAAGGTAACGATATGTACTTACATACATATATGAAAAATTCCAAGTCACTTGAATAAAAAAAATTAAAAATAATACATATTTTAGAATTTTGATTGCAGTCATATGTATATAATTCGATTGCCATGGAATTTTTATATACTATACATATGTATGCATGGATACGTGTTATTCCCAGTACAAATATATGTACATATATACTAGACATGGGCGTGCTAGTGATTTTGGCTCACGTTCACGCACGCTCATGTTGATAGCTTTGTAAATCACGCACACTCACGATCTGTTATATTTTTTTCTATCACGTTCACGCACGCTCACGCATGCTTACTCACGGACATTGTTACAAAAGCTTGGCCGAACGCCTAGCAAGGGATGAACGCACTATATTTTTTTAATGTTTTTAAGTTTTAATTGTTTCCTTATAAAAATATAGTAAATTCTTTACTACACCATATACATAAATCCAAGTTTCAGATTTTGTACAACATTAAAAAAAAAATCACTCAACTTTCGTAAAAATTTCGAGCTTTTTAATTAGAAATATTTTGAGTATGCAGATTTTAAGCCCATTCAATTGCAAGTTGAAACTAGCAAAGACTTACCATTGATGTTTGGGATTTTTTTTTAAGGCGTTGTTCATTTTCTCCATATAAAAAAAAAATCGTCGAACATATCGCACGTTTAATAATACAGAATTATTTCAAAATTTCAATTTTGTGGGAAAACGCAAAGAAAGTTTCATCAATTCATACAGTTGGTATACCAAAAAATACAGATGGAAATACATATATCTTCGCCATTTCTGGGAAGTTTAGTCATCGGTTAGGCTGAACATATTCTCCTTTTCAAGCTTTTTAATTGTATGATGAAATTTTCAAAAACGTAAGTCTTGAATTACATCCCTATATTATTAAACGTGCGATATTTTGTATGGAAGAAAATTACTGACATCGTCAACAAAAAAAACTTTAAACTTGCACTTTATTATAATACTAAAATTGAATGGGCTACAAACCTGCATACTCAAAATATTTCTTAAAAATATAATTAAAAAGCTGGAAATATTTATAGTCGAGGTTTTCACCAAGCAGTCGTGTACCTCTTTCTTCTAGAATTCTGCCTGACGCAGCTGGTATGTTTAAAATTTGCCTTGAAAGGCTTCTAAGAAGTGGCAAATCTTAAGCTTTCTCTCAATATTTTAAAACATCCTCACAATTTTGGTTTCCTGTAGATATTTATTAAATAAATCTGTATTTCCGCATTAATGTCTTAATTTTTGGTTGAAAATACGTATAGGTATGTGAAAATTACGAGACTGATAGGAAATCTAATTCACGCATGCTCACGTCAGCAAAAATTTCAGTCACGCACGAACACGAAAATAAAAACACTTTTCCATGTCCCGAAATCCCGGGATTACAGCTCCGGGATCCCGAGATTTTTACTGATTCATTTACAGAATGAAAGAGATATTGAAAACGAAAAACAGAATTCATTTGACGTGAAACACGAGAAATACAGAACACAAAAATTTGGATTCAAAGTGAACTTGAGCCATTTTCACTTGGAAGTGAATTTCAGGACTTGCCTGAATAACTGTACTTGTTCAAGTATTTTGTGCAAGAACTGTGTAATAACGAAAAATCTGGTAGCAATTGAAAACACAACAAGCTTTTACAGTGTGGCAGAGTTGTTCTTCATTTTACTTTGAGTAAATATTTTCGACAAGTAATATAGATATTTTATTCTCTTTTACTAAGTGGCATTATGCTCCCCTAAGACCGAATGTGGTGACAATGAATCTGTGATGTTTGAAAAAGGCGAACCTACTGTAAAATGCAAAAAAGTTGAAGTCAAAATCCCGAAAAATCTCGGGATCCCGAGATAAGAATTTTTACATCCCGAAATCCCGGGATTGTTAAAATGCTTCGGGATTGAATGCCCTACTCCTCACTAAGCACATAGGTATGTATTTCAGCAATCATAAGAAGTTTGGTTTGTACCATATAAACCATATGTAAACATAAATAACCATATAAAGGCATCCGCGAAATAAATTTTAAAAGAACTCAACATTTTAGAGCTCTTACCTTCATTTTTAAAGCTAAGGCTATTTCGA